GGCAGGGCAGGCCTGGGGATTGAACTCCTGGCCCCTGCACCTGCTTGCAGGTGCTTTAATCCACTGAGCTATTTGGCCAGCCCAAGATTTTTTAACTTTTCATTTCAGAACTATTTTAGAAATGCCATTTAAGAAAAAAGTACAAAGAATTCCCATTTGTCCTTCACTATACTACCCCAGTGTTATGATGCCCACAGTTTGACAAGCAAAATGGGGGAAAAGAACATGCAGGTCTTTTGCAGAGTTAGCAGGTAGACTTCCCCCAGGCCTTGAGTTTTTTGCCACCTGGAATGCTTCTTCAATGTCTTTTGTCTTCTATGACTTTAACACTTTGGAAGATTCTCTGCCTGTTAGTAGAATGTCTCTCAGTTTGAATTTGTCTGAAGAGGTTCTTATGATTAAACTAATGCCAATAATTCCATGGCAGTGATGTGTCCTTTGCACATTCAGCCAGGAGGTACATGATGAGGTCTGAACCCCTGAGTTCAGGTGTTGACTGCAGGTCTACCTACTGCTAGCATATTTTGTTTTGTAAATACCCTGCTTCTTATCATGCATTCTTACTAGTTTTAGCAACCATGGTGCTTCCTACCTGAAGTAATGATCACTATAGAGTTTGCCAGTGATGATCTTGTTTCTATTGCTTATCCATGTCTATTGATTAGAAATCCTGTGAAAGTATCCTTGCTTCTCCCATATTGACATATTTATCAATCACTTGTTTAGAGACATAAACTCAGTATTTAACTTATTCTGCAGATTATTATCTGTTCAAGTCATTGTTGATTTTGTGGCCCATGTGGATCCAGCTTTGGCCAGGGGGCCTCTCTAACTGGCTCTTGTCACTGCCTTGAGCAACCTTAGGCGCCTCAAGGTGTTCTAAATGACTTGGTGTCTTCCCCTCCCCAGGCTTGGAATCAACCATTTCTTCAGGGAGCCATTTTTTTCCCTTGAAAAAATGATGTTTAGAAAACACAATATGCTGGATGAGGTGGCTGTTGCAACTGGACCTTCCCAATACTTTTTAATATGTTGGGTTTTGTTGTTGTTGTTTGTATTGTTTTGTTGCTAGGAATCAAACTCAGGACCTTGCACTTGTCAGGCAGGCCCTGTAGTACTGAGCTAAATCTCCAGTCTCTTAATAGATGGTTTTGATGAGACATATTGGTTTTCTTTATGGTGGTTTTGATGAGACATCAGTTTCATTCTTAAAATCTAGGTTGTACTCAGCTTTTCTTCTAAATATTCATATTGGCTATCCTTGTTTGAATGTGGAATATACTTTTTATGGTCAAAGAAATATTTGTACAGAATACCTTCCTATTTTCTTTTAAGACACTGGGTGGCAGCACCCTGAGTTCTTTGTTTGCATTACCTTCTGTCAGCTAGGGCTGTTCTTATAGTGTTGTCTCTTGCAAGGTCTCTAAAGAGCTCTAGAGGTTAAGCTGATTGTCCCAATGAGTTTTATGTTTCTCCTGTTCTAGTAGTTTCTTGTGTTAAACATAAATACCTGACATGGGTCAACTCCTAAAAACAGATTTGTTTGTCATATCTGGAGGCCAGGGAGTCCAAAATCAAGATGCTACAGCTTTTTTTTTTTTTTTTTTTTTTTTGGTGGAACTGGAGATTGAACTCAGACTCTTGCACTTGCCAGGAAAGCGCTTATTCTACTGAGCCATCTCCCTGGCCCCAAGATGCTACAGCTTTGATATCCGATGAGGACTACATTCTGCTTCCAAGATGGTGCTTTTTTTTTTTTTTTTTTTTTCCTCAACATCCTTGTGCTTCTGTGTTGGAAAAATGGCAAGATTGATATAGAAAACTTCTATAAGATCAGAGCCTTAATGCCATTCATGAGGGAGGAGATTTGTCTTAATATCATCATAGTAATATCACCTGATTTTGAGGGAATACACTCAAACAATAGCAGGGACTTTGCCTCTTGGGCACCCACAGGCTATCATCTTCTATCCTTTAGCTCTTTCGCTGCCTTACCTAATTCCAACCTGAGATAGTAGGGCAGCAGAGTTGAAGATCATGCACAAGTAAGAGCAGTGAGGGATAGCCCGCAGCCCCCTGCCCCCTTTCTCCTTTGTGCACATAGAGCAGTGTTGGAAAACCTTTTATTTTATTTTAATTTTTTGGAACCTTTTTTAAAATTTTTTTCGATCCTTGGAACCCAGGGATTGAACTCAGAACTTTGTGCTTGCTGGGCAGACCTTATGCCACTAAGCTATCTCCATGGAAAACCTTTCAGGGTTTTCAGTGATAACAAACAACTGATTGTGTCATGCATGCCATAGATTCACCACCACGGTTATAGAGAAAGCTGCTTTGCTTTCACCACTGTGCTCTTTTGTGGTCCTTGTTTTCCAGCATGGGAAAGACTTCGAAGCAATTCAGAACAACATTGCTCTGAAGTACAAGAAGAAGGGCAAGCCTGCAAGTATGGTGAAGAACAAAGAGCAGGTCCGGCACTTCTACTACCGCACCTGGCACAAGATCACCAAGTATATTGACTTTGACAATGGTGAGTGTACCACAGGCTGGGCCTCTGCTCGGGAGCATGCTTTCTGGCATTGCCTTTATGCAGCTGCTTGTCTGGGACTTGCCTCCAGTACTTTGCCTAGTATCACGTACAGTTCTTGTTGGTCAAACTTAGTTGCAAGGAAGTTGCTTGCATTCATGCTTAGTGATAATTGCTGACATGTCTCTGAAATTTGTGTGTTTTGCTGGCCCTGAGTGCCTGGAGGTTCTGTATCTCCTGTGAGTGAGGGCACAGAGGTCCAGTGAAAGGAAATTGAATTTTAGGTATACTGGCGAGCAAGATTGCACCCCTCTTTTTTTGGCCCTTCCATCTCATGTGGGAGCACATTGATAGTGACATTTGAGCAGCCTGTTATTATTCTGGCCCAGGAAGGCAATCTTTGCCACAATTCTGATAATTTGTATTTGAATCCAAATTTGTATGGTCCATCTTTAGTCATATAACTATGTCATCTCCAGGTGCAGTGGTGCTTCCAACTTTGAGCACCCTTGGCTGATCGGTGGTTTCTCCAGGGTCACTTAGCCCATGTTCTGTTGTACTGACTTTGTGAAGTATTGCCATCTCCTGTCTCCACACGTTGGGAGAAAAGCCTTTCCCCATAACCCCAAGTTCTCTCCTGCTTGGCTCTGCTGTACATTCTTTCAGTTTTACAACATTGGGCTCATTGTAGTTACTCCCTCCTTATAACACCTACAGTTATTGTTAACCTATCTTCTCTCCAAATACTATACAGCCTGTGCCAGGATAGCTGGCTCAACTGTGACCATACTGCTCCACCTTTCAACCTTTGCCTGTGTCCTTGTGTTGGCTTTTGATGTCCTTCATCTTTCTTTGCCATTTCCATGGTGTCCTCTCTGCTGGGTCACTAAATCTTGGCCATGGTGTGCATCATTATTATCATAGCTTCAGGAGAAGCTAATGCTCAGTATCCCATCTCCCAAGGAACTGAACCCTATGAGGTCACACACCTGCCTCCTGTGGACTGTAACAACCCAGGAAATTGGGGTGTCAGCCACTGATCTTTGGAAACATTCCTTGGTTGACTTTGTGGGTCGTTTGTTAGTGGTGCCCATGACCATCATCATAAGATTTCCAGCTGACTTCAAATCAACATTGTTTTATTTTCCAATTGTCAGGACCATTGCTATGTACTCGGATGGATGGTTTATTTGCGTATCTCTGCACTGGTTGAGTCCCCTGCAGTCCAAAGCTGTCATGACTTGTGGCTGATTGCAGTAAAGATTTCTGCCTTCTAGAGGAACTCTGTCTATATGCTTTGTATTTTTATTTCCCTTTTCTTGTCGGGTATTATGTTTAATAATTTTATGAAATTCAGCCCATGAGTGTGGGTATACTTTGGCTGGTCATGAAAAGTTCTCTTCAGATGAGAAGGTGACCAGTGATTTGCAGTAAGGGTTGGGAGGCTGTCACGGATTAAGTGTGGAGAGAGACCAGACTCCAGTGCAACCATCATTATGCTTAGTAGTTTTACTGAGGCTCATCCATGTGCAGTGTAGGCGGTACAGACTTGGGCTAGGCCTATTCATAGCTCCAAGGCCAAAATGTTCAACCCCAGGCCCTGCCAAATTTGAACTTCATTTTTCTGTTGATACCAAAAAGTCTTTAAAGCAGATTTTTTTTTCTTTCTTTCTTTCTTTTTTTTTTTTTTTTTTTTTTTTTTTTTTGTGGAACCAGGGATTGAACTCAGGCCCTTGCATTTGCCAGGGAAGTGATTATTCCACTGAGCCATCTCCCCGGCCCCTAAAGCAGATTTTTAAAAAATATTCGGCCCACAGAGATAGCTCAGCACAGGGTCCTGAGTTCAATCTCTGGTACTGCAAGAAAAAAAAGAAAAAGAAGAATGAACAGTTTTGAAAAGGTAAACTGAGGGGACTGCATATCACAAGGCAGCATAAGGCTGCCTTGCTCCTTGGAACTTCTGTTCTAAGCTCACTTCCTACCCTTTGCTCCATATTCCTTTTGGCCATTTCTCTGTACTGTCTTGGTATTGATGGTTTTCTGGCTTGTGAGCACTTTTTTTGGGTGGGGGCATTTAACATGTTGAGCTCTTTAAAGTATATACTTTCTCTTTCCCCCTTTTTTTCTTCTTTTTTATATTACATCATTGGAGATCTCACCCAAGGCCTTTGCACTGAGCCATATTCCTGGCCATTTTATTTTGACACAGGCTTTTGCTAAGTCATTAAGTTACTCAGGCTTTCCTCAAACTTGGGGTCTTCCTTCTACAGCTCCCCAGAATTCTGGGATTATAGATGTATATCATCACACTTGGCTTTCTATTTCTGCCTTCACCTTCACTTTATCTTTTCACCCACACACTGTCCCTACAGCCTTGGTGTCTCCTGTGTGTCTTGCTTTTAATGTCCTGTTGGCCCCACTTGAAGGGCCTTTTGTGGTCATAGCTCCCCTGAAGTTCTTTAATGGGCCTGTTTGCTATGTGCATCAAGGCATTATGATCTCATCCAGACTTCTTCAGCTGGTTTCCACTCTGGATGTTATTTAACATAGCTGAGCACCTCAGTTGGACTATCATTGGGACATTCAGAAATGCTTGTGGGTCTTTGAATGTTATCATATTGCATCATGCAGAGTAGCAGTGTTATTTTATGGATCATAAGTATTTTTGGTGTTCTTAAGAACCAAACCAAGGGTAAATAAGAACATGTGCAGGATCTGTGATGGCTAGACCACATCGATATATGTAAAAGGACATGTTGTCCCTTGGAGCGTAAGTACTCATTCATTTCTCTGGAGCTGCAACCTCCATGTGCTTCATCAGAAATTTAGTTCTTTTACTGGTCCCACATCATCTCCATACAGAAGTGCATTCCTGATTACTATGTGACACTGTAGCACCATGAATAATAGTGTCCATGCATATCCACCTTCCTTTACTGGTATCTGCTGATGGTTGCAGGTTTTGTTTCATGACCTGAAGTTTTGAAAGGGTGAACTGAGGGGACTGCATATCACAAGGCAGCATAAGGCTGCCATGCTTCTTGGAGCCTCTGTTCTAAGCTCACTCCCTGCCCTTTGCTCCACACTTCTGTTGGCCATTTCTCTGTACTCTCTTGGAATTGATGCTTTTCTGGCTTGTGAGCACTTTTTTTTTTTTTTTAGTGGGGGGCCATTTAACATGTTGAGCTCTTTAAAAAAAAATTCTTTGAAATATGTCAGATACCATAAAATTCACCTTTTAAAATTACAGTTCAGTGGCATTTGGTGTATTCATGATGTCTTATAACTTCTTTTGTCTAGTTTCAAAATATTTTTATCACCCCACAGGAGACCCCATGCCCTAACTCCTATTTCCTTTCTCTAGCCCTGGCAACCACCTGCTTGCCCTCTGTAGATTAGCGTGTTGTGGAGTTTGTCAGTCAAGGCTTACTAGAGTAACAAAGTTAATTAAACAAGTATACATGTATATGAATAAAATATATTTACATTATGCATATATATACATATATATGACGAATGAATGAATGAATGAATGAAAAAAATGAACGTATGTTTAATTTGTAAGGCAGAGTCAGGTATGAAAGAATGCCAAAGGTTTCTCTACATATTGGAGAGCCATATAATCCAGTCAAAGGTGAAAGTCCTGGAGCTCACTGCTGAATCCTATTGGAAGTTGGAGGATCTACATTGGAAGATTGGAGTCTCAGCTGGAAAGCTGAAGGATCTGCTCCAGAAGCCTGGAAACAGACCTCCCAAGGCAGTGGTGAAGACTGGAGCTCCTTCAAAGAAACCAAAGCAAGACTTTCTTTTTCCTTTGTATTCCATGTAGGCTGTAAGCCTATGGGCTAGTGTCACTCACAGCCAGGATGGTTCTTCTGTCTTCAGCAAATCTGTTCAACCATACCCAATACTATGCTAATCCAGTTAGATGGACATTTTCTTTGGTTGACAGACACTGTTAAATAGACATTTCTTGGAAATTGATCCATCTAATATTCAGTTTTTTGTGTTTGGCTTCTGTCACTAAGCATATATCAAGGTTCATCCATGTGTAGAACTTCATTTCTTTTTTGACTGAATAATGATTATACAGATAGTGCACATTTTTCTTAGCTCATTTTGTTATATTTTTGAGATAGTGTCTCACTTGCTCTGTAGTCCAGGCTGGGCTTGAACACATAGTGAACCTCCTGCCTCAGTCTCCCCAGTGCTAAGATTACAGGTGTGTACCACCAAACTCAGCGCTCTTTTGTTATTTTTGAGTAGTAGGTTGTAGAGTTTCCTGAGTTAAGATAACTGAGTTTTTCCTCTCAAAAACTTATGCCGCAGTTAACCTACAGTGTTAGCAGAGTCAGATTTTTTTGTGCTAATCCAAAACCTAGAATCTTTGTTTTAGATTCAGTTCTTGTCTTCAAAACATTGTTTGCTATTTACTAATACTTTTTTCCTTCCTTTTTTGAGGGGTATCAGGACTTGATCTCAGGACTTTACACTTGCCAGGCAGGCAGTGTGCTGCAGAGATAAATCCTTGCCCCCACCCTATCTTATTATAAACATACATCTGAATCCTAGGTCCTTGAAAATAGATGGAAATCAGAATGGAGATTTCTCAACAAACTAAAATTAGAAATTGCATTTGAGGGGCCAGGAAAAAGCTCAGTAGAATAAGCGCTTGCCTGGCAAACACGGGGTCCTAAGTTTAATCCTGATACGGCAAAAGAAAGAAAGAAATTGCATTTGACCCAGCAATTCCCCTTCTGGGTAGCTTTATAAAAGAGTCGAAGATACCATATTACATATTACATGCATACCCTTATTTATGGCAGCACAGTCCATGATAGCTAAATTTTGAAAGTGATGTATATGTCCATCAGCAGATGAATGAACATCAACAGGTGAATTAAAAAGTGTATTTGGGGCCAGTGAGATAGTTCAGCGGACTAAGCATCTGCTCAGGCAAGCGCAGGGACCACAGGCAGCACTAGCCTTGCCCCCCATGTGCATCTAGCAAGCCACCAAGCCACCAGTAATTCCAGCACTGGAGAAGCTGAGACAGGATTACTATGAGTCTGAGCTGCATGGCGAGAACAGAACAGGTTTCACCAAATAAGTAAATAAATAAAAGATTTTTTTTAAATCCCAAAATATGAATATAGTAAAGAACAAAATAAAAGATAATGGGAATCAAAGATAAATTTGTTGCATATGCGAAGGGGATGAAAATATGGAGGTAAAGAGAGGAAGGGAAAGAAAAAAAAGATGATGTACATGTACCAACTCTCCATAAGAAATTAAGCATTTATATACTAACATGTAGTAACAAATATTTTTGAAACATAAAAATGACAAACTGAAAATAAAATAAAGTCCACATGCTTTCTACTCACTACCCAATCATAAAAAAATAAAGACATTATGTCACAGGGGAGAGAACCAGAGAGGACAGTTGAGAGAGTATGTGAGATGACCTGAAGGTGCCTAAACTTTCACTTCTGTGTAGTTTGGCTCCCATGGCAATGTGGGACTCTACTTTGTATAACTGAAAATATTCAAGAGAACAGTGGCTCACATGGAAGTTTTCTCTCTCCCCCTTGGTACCTGGGAATAGCTATTGAGGACAGTAGGGAGCTGGTGCCTCCTGTCTGCTCTTCTGTTCTTAGTGTGATGCTAGTGTCTAAGTTGGAACCACCTGGCAGCACCTAAAGGAAAGGGTAAGCAAAGGGGATACACCTGCCCCAATTAAGCCTTTTGAAGGAGCCTTCCAGAATCCCCACAACCTCCTGCCTTGAAGCCCAAAACTTGGTACCATGTTGAGTAGTTTGTGTCCATCCTGTTGCTTCTTGCATAAAACTCATCCAATAACTGAAAATAGGTGTATACCAGCCAGGTCCTTGGTGGGATCCATGGCTAGATGCCTTGTTTGCCAGAGAGGATGTAGGGAGGTCAGAGCCTCTGAGGGTTCAGTTTACTGGCTTATCTTGTTGCTTAGGGGCTGGAGAACAGGTGTGACTGTGTTCATGTCTACACCCTCCTCTTCTATGAGAACCTGCTGTGCTGAATGTTCCATTTTCTTCTAAGGACATTTGCTCTGTCCATCAGGAATAATTTAAAAACCGCACCTCTCATTTTTTTCAGGTTTTTGACAATTGGAAAAACAGCACTCTATTCATCTGTGCTCTTTTGCCAGTTTTTCCCCAAGTTTTGCATCATACATGACCAAAGTGCCATGATCAACCTAGGAAATCTACCTGAGCCTTCTTTTTTTTTTTTTAATTTTTTTTTTTATTT